GCCCCCTGGTTTTTACATTGCCAGGGGTAGCGCTAATTCCAGTACCCCACAGCCTGTGTTCTAACAAGATGGAAGCAGAGAGAAAACAGATCTCCTGCACGCAATGGTTGCATCATGAGGCTCCATGGGGAACAGCGCCCTCAGGTGCAGCAATATGCCCATTTAAATTGCAGGTGGCACTGGAAAACCAGGGGAAAATTATTTTTTTCAATGTATACCAGCACTAAAATGAAATGCAGCAAGGAACCTGACAAACTGCCTGAAGGTAGACGCCCAGCTCCAGCACGGGGGCCAGTCCCACCAGTCAACAGCATGGCTGTTGAAAGCTGCATGAAGTGCCCACATGTCAGGCTTGGTGAGAGCATGGTTATCTTTAGACAGATTTCTCCTCCACTGGCAGTCAGGGTAAAACACTCACACCCGGGGCTACTGTTGTTGGCTCAGTGGGTTAGGACAGTCTGCAGCATCAGCATCCCACCGTGCCAGTCCAAATCTCATTGACTCCACTTCCAATCCAGCTCCTTGCTCATGTGCCTGGAAAAGCAGCAGTAGATGGCCCAGGTGCCTGGCCACTACACCTCACAGGAACACTCAGAGTTCCTGGGCCCTGGTTTTATCCTGGCCCAGGTCTAGCCGCTTCAGCCATTTGGGGAATGACCCAGCAGATGCAAGAATTCTCTTTTTATATCTCTCCCTTTCTCTGTAACTCTGCCCTTCAAAAAAAAATTAATTTTAAAAAACTAACAGATGAATAGCATCTTTCTAGATTTTACATGGTTGCTAAGCAAAGAGACAGAAATGACCAGCATATCCTCCCATCCCATAGGATAGGGTTACAAGGAAGGCTTGACCAGAAGAAAATTCAGTTCCACGTTTCTGCTCTGTTGGTCAAATCACTGAGCCATGCAAGCAGAAATTCAACCACTGAACAAGAGTACCCAGGAGAGCATGTGGCACCTTCCCAGTTTCCTTAAACTTTTCTAGAACACCACTGATAACTGCTTCAGAGATTAGGCAGAAGATGTGTAGAACCAGGAACTGGAGCCTGGCTAAGCAACTTCTCCCAACCATAAGCTAACCAAAGAAACAGCCTGTATCCACAGATGTGTCTCTATGTCTTCCAAAGAAGACTGTTGTCTTAGGACTGTTAGAATGTACTACAAGAGCCAGACCAGCAGCCCCATCCAGGTAATGATACCTACAGGTGTGTTCGGGAGGAGGCGAGCTGGTGCTGTAGACCCCTGCGTACTAACAGGCTACCACACAATGGGCCATCCCAGGACGCATGCCATCCGCCTTTCACCCTCACGAGTCCCTCAATGTACCAGGAAAAGGAAAGAAGGTAGTTCCTAGAGAAGAGGGAGGTAGGGCACATCTGCCTCTAAAATAATTAAAAAGCAAAAGCCAGCCACTGCTCGAGAAAACTCCTGTGGGCCCTAAACGTTTCAGCCACCACAGACCCAGGAGAAAGCAAATCTACTAATGACAGGCCCACAATTTAAGCTACGTCTCTTTGCAGTTGCAGAGCCTATAAATGAGTTAGGGGGAAAAAAAAAAGAAGAAAAAAGAGTTTCTGTCTCAAAATGACATTTTAAAGGTGCTATATAAATTGCTTCCTCTCTCTGCCAGGCGCTCCCTTTTCCTCATTCTCCATTCGCTAATGAAAGACTTTTCCTCTTACTCTGCCTGTTTCAATTTGAGACGTGGCACAGAATAGGAAGCTGGAAGGCCAAGGCAGCCAGCGGGGAGGGGACAGCTACTTTCAACTCTGACACACCCTGCAGGAGGTCAGGCCAGACTCCACCAAAGAAAGGAGCTAGAACCCAGGCAGATGGCAGGGCAGAAAAGTCGCCACAGAGCCACCTCTCCCAAAAGCAGAGTTAAGAAAAAGAAAGCTGGAAAGGAAGGAGGGGGAAAATAAAGTTCCACATTCCTGACATTTTTTAGCCAAGTGCTGTGGCTGCAGGGAACAGCTCTATTCCAAACAGCCTGTAGGATGGAGAGAAAACCTGGGTTCAGGGCAAGGAACTGCCTCAGAAATGGGACGGCTCACAATTAAACCAAAAAGGGGCACACTGTGCGAGGTGGGGAGATGGCGGGGCACAGTTACTCTTAAAGTGTGTTTCCAACAGAAACAGGCCCTGAGGGAAAGGATCTCGGGCCAGTGTCTCCCTGGGGACAAAGTGATCAACTGCCAGTGTCCTGGCAAGGGGAATGACAGCCCCCCTGAGTGTAGACAGGGAATGGGCAGGGAGTTGGCAAAGGAAGGAGCAGGAGAGGGAGAAGGCAGGGGCTGTGACAGCCTGGGGTGTGGGAAGGTAGGCAAGGGGGCTCAGCCCACTGGCACAGGCTGGGTGGGAGACCCCACAGGGAGAAGCAGCCAGGAGAGTGGCTCTGGATGGGAGGAATTGTGATGGCATTTCCCGGGCTCCGTGGAGTGAAGAAAGCCTCACAATGGCCCATGCCTGATGTCCTCTCTGCCTTGCTCCCATTCCCCTTGCCCTCCTTCTGTCCTCACTCCCAGGGAGGACAGCAGCCCTGCCCCCATCACATGTGCCCCTATGCACACACACATGCACACCACTCTGCTCCACAGGAGAACCAATCAGACCCATCAGTAACACATAGGCAGTCCTGCCCTGGGCTAGGAGGTACCTCCTTCTGCTTGACTCTAAGTGTGAAGATGCCCAACCTGGTCCCTCCCAAAAAGTAGCAGAGATATCTCAGCCCTCACTGGGCAGGAGCAGCAGAGTCTCAAGTGTCTCCCTGAGACACCAATCTCCGAGTGAAGACTTACTACATGCCAAGCACAATATCGATGAATACTTCCGACTGGAAGTTCAGGGCAACGCCCTCTTTCCCCAAGAACAACTCAGATGGACAACACAACAAAACAGCACAGAGAGGCGGAGACACCTGCTCTGTAAGTCCTACAAGGTCCAGAACACAAAAGCAAGGGGCAGAGGACACGGTGGGAGAGGCAGCCTGCCGCATTGTAGACAGGGGTCTCTGCTTTCTGTATATTTGTTTCTTCTCATCTTAGGCCTTTGTCTTCCACCACATACTCAGAGGAAGCCCAGCAACTTTCAACTTCCACAGACTGGCAGGTAAAGAGGAACCAAGTTCAAATGCTAGACAGCTCCTTTTGAACAAGGACAAAGCAGGCAAAGTCACAAACTTTAACAGATGCAAGAAACACAGCAGAGAGTCACAGGCTCTTGCAGGAACTTGGCCAGCTGCACAGCCTGTGGCTGTTAAGTTTAGGGCTGAAACGTGTCTCTCCAGCCATACCCTCCAAGACTGGGACACAGCCCCAGAAGGCCTCAGAATGGCCCAGGTAAAACAAACTCCCTGTATTTCACTATGCCTTATGACGAAAAACAAATAACACATGGAAAGCAAGGAAGTGGTTTCCAAGTTGGTGGGCTTTATGACCGCTTTGGTTGCTGCCCTGGCCTCTGCTAAGACTTACCACAGGCCTACAATACCTCTTCGAGAATGAGGAAACTGAGGCCACAGTCTGTTTTTCAGTGACCAAGCAGGCACTGTGTCCTAAGGCTGATCCTGCCTTGATCAAGCCCTATCCACTAAGCCGCCAGGAGACCAGGGCAGAGCAAAGACAGCATTACCAAAACCTGCAGCGCAGAGCCCAACCGTGGTCTCAACGTGGCTCCCTTCAGACCCCCCAAGCCCAGCCAAGCCCACACTCACACAGGCAGCCCTGACTCGGCCACCACAGGAATGTCCCCAGTGTGAGGGCACCTCCACCAGCCAAGCAGAACCCTTGTTCATCCAAAAGCAGAGGGATGCAACAATAAACATGCTAGGAGTTGTCCATCTCCAAGGCAGTGTGTAGCCGGTTACAGCTCTCCAACACACCCCTGGGAATGCAGACAAGCAGTCCTGCCCAGCATGGGGGACAGACAAGGAGCGTGTCAGAAGACCTCCAAGGTGACCACAACAAGGGAGAGGGGAATGCCAACGATATAGCTTAAGTTTTAGATAAGATATGCCGAGCAAAGCCATACTCAAGTTCCTCCATGACCCTGCCCATCTTTGACTACAGTGTTTTACTCCTCTCTGCAGAAGTGGAGAGACACTCCCATGGTCCCCTTAAACTGCCTTGCTTTTCTCAAACTGCTTCTACCCTGAGGCCTATGAGACCCCACTGCTGTCAGGATCCCATCCTCTGCCGCCCGCCCCACTTCTACAACCACAGGAGAATCCTCTTCCCCCTGCAAGTACATGGCATCCCTGGCCCTCTCCTCACCCCTGTGAGGGGGCTGAGGCTCGGGGCTCGACGCGGTAGCATCATTACATGCAATGCACAAAATGGTAAAGTCAACCATCCTATTTGTACAGAGTGCAGGGGCGGAAAAAAGAGGAGCGCAGAGACCAGCGATGGGATGGGGTGAATCCCACAGGTGAATCCTCGCGGTACGTTCCAGACTGCAGGATGCAAAACACCCACAAAATCTGAGGGGAGGTGAAGAAGGGTTCGGGTCCGTCGCCCTGGAAAAGCCCCCACAAGAGGAAAGCACTTGGGGAGTTGAGAGTAGGGGGCCGGTTGTGCAATTACTGCGGGTCTGGGAGCCTCCCGGCTTGGCTCCTGGGCGCAGGAAAGGAAACCTCGCGCGTGGGGCCAGAGTAGCAGAATGCGCTTGGTTCGAGGCCAGGCTGGGGTTTCAGAGAGGCCGACAGAGCTACAGGATACGGTGGGTGCCCAAGGGGGCGGCAGAGCATGGCACGGCTGCCACGGCGCCGGTAGGAGGTGCTTTCTGGGCTGACCTGGGTTCAGGACAGGGTGGGGGTGGGGGGCACAGGACACACGGCGCGGAAGGGGGTGCGGTACACAAAGCCCCGGGTGCAGATAAGGAACGGGGCACTCCGGCTCACACACGAGGTTCCCGGGGGCTCGCAGCGGAGTGCCGGGCGCCACGCGAAGGGCAGCAAGCGCCGGCCCCTTCAGCGCCCTTCTCCTCTCTTTCTCTCCCCCTCACCTCGAACATAAGCCCGATGAGGACGCAGAGCACCAGGCAGAAGCCGATGTCCGCATGGTTGTGAATGACGAACTCCTGGCTGAAGAACGGGTAACTTTTCGTCCTCCTACGGAAAGCCATGGCAGCGGGCCCGCAGCGGCCGGCCGGGCCCCCCACCCCGCGCTCACGAGCCGCAGCGCAAAAAAACTTCTCCCAGCCCCGGCCCGGTCCGCCCGCCGGCCCGCCGCCCCGCTCGCCCGGCCGCCCGCCAGCCCAGCGCGGAACAACTTCTGGACCCGCCCCCTTCCTCCGCCCGCCCCCGGCCGCCCGGAACCGCCCCCGGCCGCAGCCCCCGCCCCGCAGCCGCGGCCCCGCACGCCGCGCGCCCGGCTCGCCGTGGGCCCGCCCCCTCGCGCTTAACCCCGGCGCCGCCGGGCGCGCCGCGCGGGAGGCCGCAGAGACCCGGCGGGGCGGCCGGGCGGGCTGCGTGCGCGCCCCGCGCCTTCCTGGCCCCGCAGGCCCCGCGCGCCGGGCACCATGCTCCGGGCCCCGGGCTCCGGACTCGGCCCCTTGCCCTCAGTGCCGAGGACGCAGGCCCGCGGAGGAGGCGGACGCCCGGGCCTGCCCGGACAGGAAGTGGGCCCGGGTTTCCCACTCCTCGAGCCCCGCTCCTTCCTTCCTTCCTCCGGCGGCCGCGGGGTGGTGTAGCCCCCGGGGTGTGCGCTGCGCCGGTGTGGAGGGCGGGGAGGCAGGGAAGCTTCGGGCGGGCCTTGTCGCTGACCACTGCGCCCTACACGGACAGGAAAAGAAAGGACGTTGGATCAGTTATTTACGGAGAGCGTACAGAAGACTGGGCTCGGTTCCGTGGGCTCCGATCCGCAGCAAACAAAAGACCTTGGTGCGGGATGGGGGAGAGGGAGGTTACATTTCAGTGAGGAGCGCAGGTGAGTGGGTGACAGGTTCTGTCGCTAACTCCTGAGACCTTCATGCTCCCCTAAATTAGTTTCACGCGTATCGCCCAAGCACCACCTTCAGCCTTAATTGATGGGAAGCAGCGAAAAATAAACACTGCAAAAGAAATTCACGTTTCTCACTACAAGTTTTTGCTGAATAATAAGCCTTAAGTGTACAGGGCTTTTTCATAAGTTAATTTATATTGGCAAGTATTGAATTTAATCTTCCCAGTAATGAAGGAGTCCTCTAATCGCTTTCTAGGTGCACCAAAATGCAAAATGAACAGAGAAAAATTTAACTCCTGTCCTTGTTAGATTAGCTTCACAGTCATTTCCCTTCTAGGTAAATAGATCTCTTACACATGGCACCATCTCTGAAAGTCGAGACTGGATGGAAGTCCTGTGGAAGGACTTTGCTTGTTAAATTTGTACTCTTGGATATTTATTTGACTTTCAAGAAAAATTTAAATAGTCCTATCGTATTAGACCAGATCTCATTTGACTTTTCTTTATGTGGAGTTTTTTTTTTGTTTGTTTGTTTATTTGTTTTTATTTCAGAACCAGAGATCTTTTTCTGTCTGAAGCTAGGAGACAGGAAAGCAGCCTGGGTCTCCCATGTGGGTGACAGGGCCTCAGTTGTCCTGAGCCACCATTGCTGCCTCCCTGCAGAGGAGGCACAGAAACAAGAAATTTCGATCAGAACAGGAGTAACTGGGACTCGAACCAGGCATCCCTAAGTGCAATGTAGTCGATCCAAACAATGGTTTAAAACATTGTGCCACAAAACTGTTTTAAAAATTTGACCTCAATCTTTTTTGGGGGTTTTGAAGATGTATTTATTTGAAAGGCAGAGCTAGAGGAAGAGAAAAGACAGAATGAGAAAAGAAAAGATCTTCCATCGACTGATTCCTACCCCAAATGGCCACTCCACTCCCACCTCTCCTGTTCTACAACTGCCCTATGCTAATTGCCCATGTGCTTCTTCCTTTAATATCCATTCCAGTAGAAATGTTACTAGAATACCCATGAAATGCCTGACACTGCTTTTACTGGAAACTGAGGTACAAGACACTTCACATGTGGTGGTTGTCAAATGTGTCCTCAAATTTGATACTCCATTGCAAGAGGTGTCCACTCATGCCCCTCATCTTGATTGTGACCAATAACCAGATCTGGTGGGACAGCCAGACATATGAGGAGCAGTCCAGCCCCATCCAGTCTTCAGGTGAGTGCATCCGCAGGTGTCTTCCTCAATATAACCTCTTGAGAGACTCAGAGCCAGAGCACTCCAAGTGAATCACACCCAAATTCCTGAGCCACAGCAACTGCGAAGTGGGTGTTTGCTGTCTTAAGCTGCCAGATCTTACTGTAATTTGTTATACAGCAAGAGATAAGCCTGCACACTGCTGCAATTTTCAATATGTTAGAAGAGACAGACGCATCATCACAATTCGGTGCTGATGGTGACTCTAAACACAATTGGATGTATATTCACTGTGAATAAAAATAAAATACAATTTAATTCTGATTGAAGTGCAAGAGGATATTTGGACTGGGCCTTTGTCTGGGAGAGATTTGACTAACAAAGAGTGAAGAAGAGAGATAGGAAATGAATTTAGACACTTGAACTGGAGCGAGATTGCGGTACGTTTTGAATGTCATGATAAAGAGTGACTTTATTCTGCAAAGAATGGGTAGATTGGGAGACTTTTTCTTTAAGGTTTACTTATTTCTTACCTGAAAGAAGGAGACATAGAGAGCAGAGAAGTAAAGGAGAGGAAGAGAGTGAGTGAAAGAGAGATCTTCCATCTGATGATTCACCCCCAAATGGCAACAAAAGCCAGAGCTGGACCAGTTAGAAGCTGGGAGCCAGGAACTTCTGGGTCTCCCACATGGTTTCAGGGGTCCAAAGCTTTCATTCTTTTCACAGGCCATTAACAGGGAGCTGGATCAGAAATGCAGCAGCCAGGATTAGAACCTGCATCCATATGGGAAACTGGTTAGACAAGCAGAGGTTTAGCCTGATACCCTACCATGTTGGACCCTGGACTAGAAGATTTTTAAGCATGACCTGATCTGACTTCAAAAGAGAATGATCAGGAGGATGGAAGATAATTCAGATTTAAGCAGCGTCTTTTCAGCAAGTTCGCTTGGAAAATATATTATAGCAGTGTAGAAAAGAAGAAAACATTTCTCAGAATGGCAAGAACACAAGGGAGGTGAATTATTTCAGAGACATTTCAATAATTAATTAATCACATTTGGTGACTGCTTAAATATAAGACCTCTGGGAGCTGAACAAGTTATGTTGGGATCATAAAGAATATATATGGAGCAACAGACAATGAGCACTTTAGGAGAAAAAGGTGGAATCTGTTTTGGATAAATGGGAGAAACATAAAATTGATACCTAAATAATTCAGTTGGAACCTAATGGATTGGATTTGGAGAGGGAAAGCAAAAACTAAAGTACCCATGGTCCACTTTCTTTCTCTCTCTCTCTTTTTCTCTCTCTTTCTTTCTTTCTTTCTCCTCTTTTTTCCTTACTTCCTCCCTCCCTTTCTCTCTTTCTTTCACAGTTTCATTAGAATAGAAAAGGAGAGTTACAAAAGAAATGAATAAATGGAGACAGATCTTCAACCCAATGGTGTACTCAAATAACTACAACAGCCGGGGATGGACCAGGCTGGGAGCCAGGAGCCAGGAACCTGGAACTTCTTCCCGATTTCCCAGCCCAAGCTTTTGTGTCATCTTCTGTTGCTTTTCTAGGTATCCTAGCAGGGAGCTGAATTGTAAGTGGAGCAGCCAGGAAATGAACTGGCACTGTGTAGATTGCTGTTGACTCAGATAGTGGCTTAAACCACTGTGCACGACGCTGGCCTCATTAGTAGTTCATTTTCTATAGGAACGGTGAAGCTATAGGTTAGACAAATGTTCCCAGAAAAGCAAGAAAGAGCCTAAGGTTAGCAGAATCCTAGAGAACCCCAACATCCCAAAGGATGATGAAGGAGGAAGAAAAATTTGCAGTGGAATGAAGAAGCCATGCTCCCAGGGAATCACAAGAGCAGGATAGATACAGTGGGACAGCCACAGAAGGGACCCCTCGATGCAGCTTTTGCAGCTTTTGAAGAGCCAGTTTTGGTTAAACATTGGAGTGGACTTAGCAGTAGACAAGAAGGAAATGGGTGAGTAATTATAATTTTCTAGGATGTTTGGTGAGCAAGAGGAAATTGGATGGTAATTGAAGCGATATGGAGGGTCTAAGCAAGCATCTTTAGATATAGTTTTCAACATTGAAGCATGTTAGGAAGTAGAGAAGAAAAATTCAAGTGGGGGGGCTAGGGTGGGCCCTGAAGGTGCCAGAAACATGAATGCTCATTGATGATGCCAGGGGAGAGTCTGGAGGGAGCTCCAGCAGCAGCGACAAGGCATATTCATCCAAGATGGGGACAGGAACCTAAGGATGGGGGAATATATAATTCCATCTGGAGGTGGAGGAAATGATCACCTTACCTCCCATTTATATGGCACATTGCAGTCGCCCTGTAAAGAAGCAAGGCAGTTATTACCAGCCTCTTCTTGTAGTTGTTCTAAGACACATGAATGACCAAGGGCCACGTAATTGGTGGGTCACTAAATGTGGGTTCAGATCTGTGGATCAGGCTCTCAATACAGGAGCCCATTTGTTAAATCATCCTTTAGAAAGTTTAGGCTTCCTACAATACAACTTCACATGCCCCTTACAGTTGTACAGTCAGACTGTTGACACTTGACAACATCCACTCTTTTTTTTTTCAAATATTTGTATATTTATTTTCCTTTACTCAAATGATTGGGGATAGAGAGTTGTGTTATCTTCCATCTTTCTACTCATTTCCTAAATACCTGCCATAGTCAGGTTTCTAACCAGGAGCCTGAAACTGCATAGAAATCTCCCAGGTGAGTGTCATGAACCCAAACACTTGAGCCATCGTCTGTTGCTCTTGGGAGGCCTTAGCAAGAATGCTGGACTGGAAGGAAAGAAAGTTGGACTCAAGCCAGCACTGAGATATGGGAGGCAGACATCTCCAAGGGAACTTAATTCACTGTGCCACAGTGTCTGCCACTAAATCAACCCTTAATTGAAGCTATCTGTCTTTCCAAAACAGACCTTTCTGATTTCTAATGTCTGTAGGTTTTTATCCCTCTCACAATGCCCTTGGCACATGTCCCTTTATCTGAAGACATCCTTCAAAATAGTCTTACCTAGCTTCAGACAACTAGTCTCAGGGTAGGACCTTGTGCAGGGCACCCCCCCTCCCATGATTGTGTTTGACCCTCTAACACAGGGGTCAT